TGCCCTCCTTCTGTGCTTGTGGCCCTTGGTGGGCATTGCTGCTCCCAAAGTGAGCCTCCTTCTGCGCCCTGGGTCTCCAGGTCCCCACCCAAATCTCACTGCCTCCCTTCCTCTGTGTTTCTGTCCCTCTCTCCGAGGCGTCCTTCTTCCTCTAGATGTGCATGGAGGCCTCTCCATCTTCCTGTGGGTGTGTGTCTCTGGCTCTCACTCTACCCTCCTCCAGTATAGGTCTGTCTCTTCTGTGTATCTCCCTTGTGCATCTTTCTCTGTGGTTTCTCATCCTGTGTGTATTTATTTGTGCCTTTGTCCCTCAACCTGGGTAAAGACTCTTGGCCTTGGAGTCAAACTTGGGCAAATCATCTTACCTCTGGGGCCTGTTTCTGCATCTCTAAAATAAGGATATTAATTCTTTTTGGGGGGGGCAGAGAGGAGTGAGGAAGATTGGCTCTGAGCCAACATCTGTTACCAGTCTTCCTCTTTTTGCTTGAGGAAGATTGTCACTGAGCTAACATCTGTGGCAATCTTCCTCTTTTTTTTTTTTTTGAGGAAGATTAGCCCTGAGCTAACATCTGCCACCAATCCGCCTCTTTTTTTTTTTTTTTTTTTTTTTGCTGAGGAAGACTGGCCCTGAACTAACATCCATGCCCATCTTCCTCTACTTTATATGTGGGACACCTACCACAGCATGGCTTGCCAAGCAGTGCCATGTCTGCACCCAGGATCCGAACCGGCAAACCCCCGGCCACTGAAGCGGAATGTGCGAACTTAACCGCTGTGCCACTGGGCCAGCCCCAATCTTCCTCTATTTTATGTGGGATGCCGCCACAGCATGGCTTGACGAGCGGTGCTGTGTCCAAGCCCCGGGTCCAAACCCGTGAACCCCAGGCCGCCAAAGTGGAGTGCGCAAACTTAACCACTACGTCACTGGGCCAGCCCCAAGGATATTAATTCTTAATCACATAGGATTGTTTGGGGATCGAATGAGACCCCAGGCATGGAACCACAGCTCAATACCTGGCACACAATAGGACCTCTGCAAAATTCTCTTTCTCTCAACCTGTTGGCTGTTTTCTTTCAGTGTAGAGCTGTCTCTTCCTCTTGCCGCCTGGCGAGTGTTTATGAGAGTGGATTGCCCTTCTGGGTGTGTCTCCCTTTTCTTTGAATATCCCAGGCCCTCATCCTGGTTATACGTCCTGGTTATACGGGCTTCCCTCTGGTGGAGCTCTCTAGCTCTGGGCGTGAGTCATTTCATTCTTCTGGGCATGGGGGCTGCTTCTCCCCGGCCTGTGTATATGGTGGATAGTGCCACTGTGCTTCGTGGAAGGTTCTTTGCTGTTGCTGTCTTCCCCACCATGGGGTGGGAGTGCTTCTGTCTCTTGGAGTGTCACCTCCTGTATCCCACCTCTGCTGGCTCAACCTTGTGCCCCTCTGATGTGTATCTTGTCCTGAGGTTTGGTGCATGGAGGCATTGAAGCCCAGAGTGTGTGTATCAGTTTCTGTCATCTTGACACTGACGCAGGCTGCAAGGCTGTCTTTGGCTGCTGCAGCAATTAGGCTGGGCCCCCTCCCTGGCTCACTTCATACTGGCGCTTGGGAGGAAGGGGCTGTGTTCCGTGGGGGCAGTGGAGGAAGGATGCTGCTCTGGAGGTCATACTCGGCGGAGACTGTCTGCCCAGGGCAAGGATTCGGCTTCTTGGATCTGCTCTGGTGTTGTCCCCAATCCGCATAGGTGGCATGGGTGCCTCCTCTTTGTGGTTGGAGGGCACGTCCTCTTTCTGCTTTTGAGTTGACAGGACACGCTCGTTCCTCTCTCGCTACTTCTGGCCTGAATTGCGGTCTGTCCCTGCCCACTCAGACGTGCCTCCTCTCAGCCTTGTAGCTGGAGTGGCCTCACCATCTTGCTCCTTTTCTGCCCTCCGCCTTAGAGGGTCTCTACTCCAGCCCTTCCCATTACGAAGGATACTGTGAGCCAGGGTCAGGTGGAGCACAGGCGGGGAGCTAGCAGAGCTGGTTGGGGGACCCCAGCATCCTCCCAGTCTCCCCTTTCTGGACCTCACTTTCCCCATCTCTAAATAACAGGCACTGCTTCCCATGGAACTTTCTGCAGTGCTGGAAATGTTCTGTATCTGGGCTGCATAATAGAGGAGCCATATGTGGCTGTTAAGCTCTTGAAATCTGGTTACTGCAACCAGTGAACTAAAATTTTAATGTAATTTAATTAATTTAAGTTTAAATAGCCACATGTGGCTACCATGTTGGATGGCATGGCTCGGAGGTATCTTCCGGCTCCAAAGGCTTATGACCCTTGGCTGGATGGGCAGAATTTCCCAAAGCTCCAAAGACCCTACTTTGGGTGGCTGCAGGGGAGAACCCTCAGCCCCCAGGAAGCCTGGCTTCACCTGACTTGTGTGGGAGGAGAAGGAAGGACCATCTGGGCTTGTTCAGGCTCCAGGGGTGGGAGAGACTGAGGGTTGGGATCCAAGTGCAGAAAACAGGCCTCTGCCACTGTGGCCTCCAATCCCCCACCAGTACCCCCATGTCGGCCACCTGAATGGCCCAGATCAGATCAGAGAAGAGGGGAATCTTTTCTGGCTGTGTCAGGAGGTGGGGCCCGAGGCAGAGCAGGCTGGGTGGTTGGCACCCTGTCCGGCTGGGAAGCCAGCGGGTGCCCTGCCAGGGTGAACCTGCAGCCTCGGGTCCAACGGCTACTGCTCTCACAGGCTGTGGACCCTTCTCATCTCAGGATGGCCTTCTCCCCTCATTAGTTGCCTGGGTCGAAGCATGCAGCAGGTCCCTCCTGAGCCTCCACGCTGTGCTCCTGGGGGACTCCTGGCCTGGGGCTTCGTCCTGAGGTGCTGGCATGGAAACTGACTGCTGTCGCCACTGGAGCCCCAGCCCCTCTGGCACCTGGGGGTCTGGCCCACCAAGCACTTTGTCGATTGGTTTCAGGCGTGATCCTTTACGTGTCTGGAGCTGTTGCAGCTGCGGTGACTCATTGGGGAAGGAGGGAGGGTGGGGCCGAGATGTGGGCGAGGGTGAGCTGGCTCAGCACCAGGATGCAGGGCGGAGAAAAGGGGCCCTGCTCAAGGAGGAAGAGAGGTGCTGGGGCGATTGGTGGCTTCAGAGATTGGGGAAGCCATCGGGCTGGAAGCCTTTTTCCTTCTCTGCCCTGCCTGGCTCCTGGTCTGCGGGCCTGGCTGCTCCGTGCTGGATGCTGGGGGAAGGTCTCGTTCAAGTTCCAGCTTTGTTGTTTCCCATCGGGAAGGGTCAGCATGACTTCCTGTAGCCGCTCCCCGGCCTGTCAGGAAGGGAGGTGTTTTCCCCAGCTCACACCTGTGCCAACAGGCGGCTCACCCGTCAGCAGCTCTCCTGGGCTCCTAACCAGCACCTGTGCTGACGAGGAGGCACATTGTAAATACCGTGTGTGAGTTCAGGTAGTGGGGAGACTGGCGGGGGGGGTCTCTGTGGCTGTCTTCATTTGTGTTGTTATCTGCCTGACATTGGAACTGCTAAGTGCCCGTGAATTTCCAAGAGACACGGTCTTGTCCTCAGAGGCAAAATCTAGCACCTTCAAGACCCCATTTATCTTTCATTCCCTCCAGAAGCCTCCTGGAACATTCGGAGGCTGAATTGTTCATGCCCAGAGCACCTTGCTCATAATTTATATCCTGGACAGGAACTAAGTCTTTTAAATCTCCACATCCGGCACATGGAGTGCATTCAATAAATGTTTGGAAGGTGCATGAGAGAAGTTAGGCAACAATTGAATGCAGCATAGAATTCAGAGCTGGGCTGAGCTGCAACCGTCCCTCATGGGTTTGCTCTGCAGGGTCCGGTACAATGTTGGACAAATGGGAGGTGATCAGTAGGCATGTGTTTATCCATTGGTTGACTAATTTGTGGATGCAAACAGCTGTAGGGCGGGGCTTTGGGGAAATTCTTCACGATTTATGGCCTCCCCCACACTGTTTCACAGACGTCCTTCTGGATGACGCTGCCGCCGCCATTTTGTGTGGGTGGCTGTAGGCCGTGGCCATATCCAGAGTCCTGCCTGGTGTCTTCCCAGGGTGCCTCTGGAGCTGACAGCTCATCCTGTGGCTGGAGGGCATCTTTGCTCCCAAGTGCCCGCACCTATGGGGGCCTGGCTCAGGGCCCAGGGTGGGCTGGCAGATGGGCCCTGACTCACCAGGTCCCTGAGGCAGGTCAGCTGTACTCTCACCTCTCGGGCTTGGGCCTGTGCCTGGGGGGCACCGGGGCTTCCTCTGTTTAGCCGCTGCCTGTGGCAGGCCTCCTGGAGTCCCAGCTGGTGAGGGTCCCCCTGGTCCTGAGACTGAGTTAGACAGACAGAGTCACTCTTGTCGCTGGGGGAGGGAGGACACCAGCATCCCTGCTTTCAGGCCTGCCAGTTACCCCCAGTGCTGGAGACACCCTGAGGAGTGTCCATCCTCTGATACGGTGTAGGGGAAAAGAGCCACAGACTCAGAGCTTGAGCATAGTTGCTCCCTTATTGTGGACCCCGGGCAAACTGGCGTCTCTGAATCTCAGTCTCTCCATCTGTAAAATAGGGACAGTAACATCTCCCTCCTGAAGCTGTTATAAAGAACCTAATGAGAATGTGTTTGTTGTGAGGTTCCTGTGCCCCAGAGCTTTTCACACATGCTCTGTCCCTCTCTTCTTCAGTCCTCACAGAGATCCTTTATTGTCTCCATTTTCATGATGAGAAAATGGAGCTTCAGAGAAGTTACGTGACTTGGCCAGGGTCACCCAGCTGGGAGGATGTGGAACCAGGATTTGAATCTGAGTCTGGCCTCCTCTAAACCCCTCTTCTGCGACCCTAGGCTGGAAAGTCATGTATGAATGGAATTGATGACAGTAGTAGGGGTCAGGGCATCGATCTGGCCTGGGGAACAGGACATCCAGCTGTCCCTTGCGTGGCAGCTGGTTGGGGTTCCAAGCAAGCTGATTGTTGAGTGCAAGCATCACTGTGAACTTTTCCTTAGGCTGTGTGACGGAGATTCCCGAGGAGAAAGACTGAAGAGAGGAGAGGAAGGAGGGGCGGGCTCCTGGCAAGGCATTTGCTCCTGAATTGAGTCCTGCAGAAGGTCAGTGGGAGGGAGGGTGAGGAGAGAGGTGGAGGTGATGGGATGGGGAGGGTGGAGACCCTGTGTGGCATCGGGAGGCAGGGCCCTGGGTGGAAGGGATGAGCGGCTGGTTCCTCCAAGGCCGGTTGCATCCACTGTCCACTTTCTGTCCTCTCCACTGTGCCTTGAGAGGCTTCCACTGCGGAAGCAGATACCTTGAGACAATGCTCCACTCCCCGAGAGTTGAAGGCACCAGAGATCCCTGGCTTTCTCATCTCTTTATGCCTTCATGCCCGTACTGTCCTGAGCTCCATTTCCTTACCTCATTCCAGATGGAGAAGGAAGAGGAGACGACCCGGGAGCTGCTGCTGCCCAACTGGCAGGGCAGCGGCTCCCACGGGCTGACCATTGCCCAGAGGGACAATGGCGTCTTTGTGCAGGAGGTGATGCAGAACTCCCCTGCGGCCCGCACTGGGGTGGTCAAGGAGGGTGAGTCACCTCAGGGTGAGGGCTGGGTGCTGGGTTGGGGTGGGCGTGGGTGGTGGAGGGAAGGGCAGGGGGCAGGCAGAAGTGGGCAAGTGGCTGTGGAGGGCCCAGTCCTGGCTGCATCAGGATGGTCAGGACCCACGCCCTGCCCTCCCCTGCCCACTCTGTGTCTCTTGGTTGTGGTCCTCGGGAGAGGCAGTCATGTGGGATGGTGGAGATGTAGTCCTTAGTTCTGATGCCACCACTCACGAGTTTTGGGCAAATTAATAGGCCTCTCTAAGCCTCAGTTTCCTCATCTATACAATGGGTATTATCACACCAGCCTCACAGGGTGGTCATGACACACACTGAATACAAGTCAGTTCAAGTGTCCAACACTGAGTGGTTGTGTGTTGTTTCCCTGAGACCCTGAGTGTCTTACCCACTTCTTGCTCCTCCCTGCTCAGGGGACCAGATTGTGGGTGCCACCATCTACTTTGACAACCTGCAGTCGGGTGAGGTGACCCAGCTGCTGAACACCATGGGGCACCACACTGTGGGCCTGAAGCTGCACCGCAAGGGGGACCGCTCCCCTGAGCCTGGCCAGACCTGGACGCACGAAGTCTTCACCGCCCGCAGCTCCGAAGTGGTTCTGGTGAGTGCCTCACTGGCCCATCTGCGCTCTGAGCTCCCCCTGGCCGCACCGACCTGCTGGCCCACTTCCTGAGCCTCTGTCTGCCTGCTGGATCTCTGTTGTCATTCCTTCTCCTACTGTCACCCCTCTGCACCCTCTGTTGAGCCAATCTGTTTGTTCCTATTCACGTGTGGCATGTGGCGGATGCTGCCCCTAAAAGTCTTCCCTCAGTCTCTTCAGAGTACCCAGCGTGGGAACTGACTCATGCTATCTGGTCCTAGATGCCAGGAGGAACATCAGCTGCTTTGTAAGAATCTTCGAAATGATTTCACAGGTGCCCAGCTCTGCCTCACAGACACCATTTTTCTACTTCCAGAGGCCTGGATTCATCTATGAGTCAGAGGCTGGGCAGAAAAGTGCCTGAGGGATGTTTCTCTGCTCCTTCTGATGGCTTGTTTATTTAACAAATAATGGGTCCCCAAAGTGAAAGTGTTAACCCAGGCGCCGCCAGTCTCAACAAAGGCTTAGACTCAACAGTGCTTTCCAAAGGTCCCTGGGAGAAATCCCTCCCGATTAAACAAACAAGCCGGTGAGTTGAGAGTTGAGAGCCAAAGGGTCAGGTCAGCACAGAGCTGGTCACCTGGAGGTGTCCCTGAGACTGGACAGGCTAATCTGAATCTAGGATTGATTGTTATTCCGTCTCTCAGACCACACAGTCCAGGAGTCTACACCCCGCTTTCCCCATGGCTTTCGCTTTGTTCCTCGAATTTCCCCAAATAGTTTCTGTTTTCCTCCTGGCATGTGGCTCTCAGCCCCTTTCTTCAGCCCCTGTGCTCTGCCCCAGGAGGCTCCATGGACCTCTGATATGGTCCCGGCTTCCATGGGCAATAGGCAACCATGTTGTCGGCTGGGCTGTGGCCAGGCGTCTGTGACTCAGGCAGACTCTGCTGCAACCTCTGCCGGGCGTGTCTTTCTGCAGAGCGGGGATGATGAGGAGTACCAGCGCATCTACACCACAAAGATCAAGCCTCGGCTGAAGTCGGAGGATGGAGTGGAAGGAGATCCTGGGGAGACCCAGAGCCGCACCATCACAGTGACTAGAAGAGTCACGGCCTACACTGTGGACGTCACAGGTCGGGAAGGAGCCAAGGACATCGACATCAGCAGCCCTGAGTTCAAGATCAAGATTCCAAGGCACGAACTGACGGAAATCTCCACCGTGGGTGTGGACACCCAGCCTGGGAAGACAGTGATCAGATTGCCCTCGGGCTCGGGGGCAGTGTCGCCAACCACAGGCTCTGCAGGGTCCATTTCCGCTTCGGGACCAGAGCTCCAAGGTGCTGGCCACTCGAAGCTCCAGGTCACCGTGCCTGGGATAAAGGTGGGAAGCCCGGGCGTCAGTGTCAGTGCAAAGGGCTTTGACTTGGGTGGCAAAGGAGGGGTCCAAGTTCCAGGAGTGGACATTTCATCTTCTCTAGGGGGTGGGGCAGTAGAGGTGCAGGGCTCCTCTCTTGAGAGTGGCAGTAATGGGAAAATTAAAATTCCTACCATGAAGATGCCAAAATTTGGTGTCTCAACAGGACCTGTTGAGGGTCAGGCGCCAGGGTTGAGTGTTTCTGCACCTGAATTCTCTGTGGGGCACAAGGACAGCAAGCCAGGCTTGGCCATTGGCGGGAACATCCAGGCTCCTCAGCTAGAAGTTAGTGCCCCCTCTCTCAATGTTGAGGGCATTGAGGGGAAGCTGAAGGGCCCCCAGATCACTGGGCCATCACTTGAGGGTGACCTAGGCCTGAAAGGTGCCAAGCCACAGGGGAGCGTAGGGGTGGACATCTCTGCTCCCAAAATCGAGGGCAGCGTCCTTGGCCCCAGTGTGGAAGTTCGAGCCCCTGACGTTGATATCCATGGGCCTGGAGGCAAACTGAATTTACCCAAGATGAACGTCCCCAAATTCTCTGCATCAGGTTCTAAGGGAGAGGGAGCTGGCATTGATGTGACACTGCCCACAGGTGAAGTGACTCTTCCAGGGATCTCTGGAGACATCAGGCTGCCTGAGGTTGCTCCTGGGGGGCTGGAAGGGAAGGTGAAGGGTACTAAAGTCAAGAGTCCTGAAATGGTTATTCAGAGACCTAAAATCTCCATGCAGGATGTGGATCTGAGCCTTGGGTCCCCTAAACTGAAAGGAGATATTCAGGTTTCTGCTCCTGGGGTGCAAGGTGATGTTAAAGGCCCTCAGGTGGCAATTAAAGGCTCCAAAGTGGACATCGAGACACCCAGCCTAGAGGGGACCCTGACAGGCCCCAAGCTCAGTGGGCCTTCTGGGAAAACAGGAACCTGCAAGATCTCTATGGCAGACGTAGACTTAAGTGTGGCTGCACCTAAACTGAAAGGGGGTGTGGATGTCACAGTCCCAGAAGTAGAAGGGAAAGTCAGAGTCCCTGAGGTTGACGTCAAAGGCCCCAAAGTGGATGTCAGTGCCCCAGATGTGAATGTTCATAGCCCAGAATGGAACCTGCAAATGCCCAAGATGAAAATGCCCAAGTTCAGCACTCCAGGAGTCAGAGGAGAAGGCCCAGATGTAGACATGAGTCTACCCAAAGGAGATATCAGTATTTCAGGGCCCAAGGTCAACGTGGAAGCCCCAGATGTCAACATAGGGGACCTGGGGAGCAAACTTAAAGGCTCTGACATTAAGCTGCCTGAAGTGAGTGTGAAGACACCAAAGATCTCCATGCCTGATGTAGATTTGCACGTTAAAGGCACAAAGGTAAAAGGAGAGTGTGATATAACAGTACCAAAACTTGAAGGAGAACTGAAAGGCCCCCAAATGGACATTGATGCCCCAGATGTGGACGTTCATGGCCCAGACTGGCACCTGAAGATGCCCAAAATGAAAATGCCCAAATTCAGTGTGCCAGGGCTCACAGCAGAAGGCCCAGAAGTGGATGTGAACCTGCCCAAGCCTGCTGTGGATATTTCTGGGCCCAAGGTAGATGTTAGTGCTCCAGATGTGAGCATTGAGGGACCAGAAGGGAAATTGAAAGGACCCAAGTTTAAGATGCCTGAGATGAATCTCAAAGCCCCAAAGATCTCATTGCCAGATGTGGACTTACATTTGAAAGGCCCTGGAGCAAGAGGAGAATATGATGTCACAGTGCCAAAGGTTGAAGGTGAGATTAAAGTTCCTGATGTTGAACTTAAAAGTGCTAAAATGGACATTGATGCCCCAGATGTGGATGTTCATGGCCCAGACTGGCACCTGAAGATGCCCAAAGTGAAAATGCCCAAGTTCGGCATGCCAGGCTTCAAAGGAGAGGGCCCAGAAGTGGATGTGAACCTGCCCAAAGCTGACATTGACATCTCAGGACCCAAGGTGGATGTTGAAGTTCCAGATGTGAGTATTGAAGGACCTGAAGGAAAGCTGAAGGGTCCCAAGTTCAAGATGCCTGAGATGAATATCAAGGCCCCAAAGATCTCCACGCCTGATATGGATTTACATATGAAAGGGCCCAAGGTAAAGGGAGAATATGATGTTACAGTGCCAAAGCTGGAAGGGGACCTGAAAGGGCCAAAAGTGGACGTCAGTGCCCCAGATGTTGAAGTGCATGGTCCTGATTGGAACCTAAAGATGCCCAAGATGAAAATGCCTAAATTTACCATGCCTAGCCTCAAAGGAGAGGGCCCAGAATTGGATGTGAACTTGCCCAAGGCCGATGTGGACATTTCTGCACCTAAGGTAGATATTAGTGCTCCAGATCTGAGTCTTGAAGGACCAGAAGGGAAGCTGAAAGGTCCCAAGTTTAAGATGCCTGAGATGCACTTCAAAGCTCCTAAGATGACTCTGCCAGATGTTGACCTGGATCTCAAAGGACCCAAAATGAAAGGAGATCTAGATGTGTCTGCACCAAAGATAGAAGGTGAGATGAAAGTTCCAGATGTGGACGTGAAAGGCCCTAAGGTAGATATTAAGGCACCAGATGTGGAAGTTCAAGGTCCAGACTGGAGCCTAAAAATGCCCAAGATGAAAATGCCTAAATTCAGCATGCCCAGCTTCAAAGGTGAGGGCCCAGATGTGGACGTGAACCTGCCTAAAGCTGACATTGACGTCACTGGACCCAAGGTTGGCATTGAAGCCCCAGATGTGAGCCTTGAGGGACCAGAAGGAAAGCTGAAGGGTCCCAAGTTTAAGATGCCTGAGATGCACTTCAAGGCCCCCAAGATCTCCACGCCTGATGTAGACTTACACCTGAAAGGCCCCAAAGTCAAAGGGGATATGGATGTGTCTGTGCCCAAGATAGAAGGTGAAATGAAAGTGCCAGATGTGGACATCAAAGGCCCCAAAGTGGACGTTGATGTCCCAGATGTGGACGTTCATGGCCCAGACTGGAACTTGAAAATGCCCAAGATGAAAATGCCAAAGTTCAGCGTGCCCGGCTTCAAAGCAGAGGGTCCAGAAGTGGATGTGAACCTGCCCAAAGCTGACATCGACATCTCTGGACCCAAGGTTGACATTGAAGCCCCAGATGTGAGCCTTGAGGGACCAGAAGGGAAGCTAAAGGGTCCCAAGTTTAGGATGCCTGAGATGCACTTCAAGGCCCCCAAGATCTCCATGCCTGATGCGAACCTGAATCTTAAGGGGCCGAAACTAAAGGGAGATGTGGATGTGACTTTGCCTGATGTAGAAGGTGAAATAAAAGTGCCAGATGTTGACATTAAAGGGCCCAAAGTTGACATCAGTGCTCCAGATGTTGATGCTCATGGCCCAGACTGGCACCTGAAAATGCCCAAAATGAAAATGCCCAAGTTCAGCATGCCTGGTTTCAAAGGAGAGGGCCCAGAAGTGGATGTGAACCTGCCCAAGGCTGACATTGATGTCGCAGGACCCAAGGTGGACGTTGAAGTTCCAGATGTGAATATTGAAGGTCCAAATGCAAAACTGAAAGGTCCTAAATTTAAGATGCCAGAAATGAATATAAAGCCTCAGAAGATATCCATGCCAGATGTTGGTTTGCATTTGAAAGGTCCTAAAATGAAAGGAGATTATGATGTTGCAGTTCCAAAAGTAGAAGGAGAGATAAAAGCTCCTGATGTTGACATCAAAGGTCCTAAGGTGGACATTAATGCACCAGATGTGGGAGTTCATGGCCCAGACTGGCACCTGAAGATGCCCAAAGTGAAAATGCCCAAGTTCAGCATGCCTGGCTTCAAAGGAGAGGGCCCAGAGGTGGATGTGAAACTACCAAAGGCTGACATTGATGTCTCTGGACCCAAGGTAGACATTGATGCTCCAGATGTGAATATTGAAGGTCCAGAGGGAAAACTAAAGGGTCCCAAGTTCAAGATGCCAAGCATGAATATACAGACACACAAAATCTCTATGCCTGATGTTGGACTAAATCTGAAAGCCCCTAAACTAAAAACTGATGTAGATGTTTCCCTTCCCAAAGTGGAAGGAAACTTGAAGGGTCCTGAAATTGATGTGAAAGCTCCTAAGATGGATGTAGATGTTGGTGATATTGATATTGAATGTCCAGAAGGAAAGGTGAAAGGCCCCAAGTTTAAGATGCCTGAGATGCATTTCAAAGCCCCCAAGATCTCCATGCCTGATGTAGACTTACACTTGAAAGGACCCAAAGTCAAAGGGGATATGGATGTGTCTGTGCCCAAGATAGAAGGTGAAATGAAAGTCCCAGATGTTGACGTTAAAGGACCCAAAGTGGATGTCGATGTGCCAGATGTGGATGTTCATGGCCCAGACTGGCACCTGAAGATGCCCAAAGTGAAAATGCCCAAGTTCAGCATGCCGGGCTTCAAAGGAGAGGGCCCAGAAGTGGATGTGAACTTGCCAAAGGCTGACATTAATGTTTCTGGCCCCAAAGTGGACATTGATGCTCCTGATTTGGATATTGAGGGACCAGAAGGAAAATTAAAAGGCTCTAAATTTAAGATGCCTAAGTTGAACATCAAATCTTCCAAGATATCCATGCCAGATGTGGACTTGAATTTGAAGGGACCCAAACTGAAAGGAGAGATAGATGCTTCTGTGCCAGAACTAGAAGGTGATCTCAGAGGCCCGCAAGTTGATATCAAAGGTCCCAGTGTAGATGTGGAGGTTCCTGATGTTGATCTGGAATGTCCTGATGCTAAGTTGAAAGGCCCTAAGTTTAAGATGCCGGACATGCACTTCAAGGCTCCCAAGATCTCCATGCCTGATGTACACTTGAAAGGCCCCAAAGTCAAAGGGGATATGGATGTGTCTGTGCCAAAATTGGAGGGAGATTTGAAAGGCCCCAGTGTGGACGTGGAGGTGCCTGATGTTGATCTGGAATGTCCTGATGCTAAGTTGAAAGGCCCTAAGTTTAAGATGCCAGACATGCACTTCAAGGCCCCCAAGATCTCCATGCCTGATATACACTTGAAAGGCCCCAAAGTCAAAGGGGATATGGATGTGTCTGTGCCAAAATTGGAGGGAGATTTGAAAGGTCCCAGTGTGGACGTGGAGGTGCCTGATGTTGATCTGGAATGTCCTGATGCTAAGTTGAAAGGCCCTAAGTTTAAGATGCCAGACATGCACTTCAAGGCCCCCAAGATCTCCATGCCTGATGTAGACTTACACTTGAAAGGCCCCAAAGTCAAAGGGGATATGGATGTGTCTGTGCCCAAAATAGAAGGCGAAATGAAAGTGCCAGATGTGGACATCAAAGGCCCCAAAGTGGACGTTGATGTCCCAGATGTGGACGTTCATGGCCCAGACTGGAACTTGAAAATGCCCAAGATGAAAATGCCAAAGTTCAGCGTGCCCGGCTTCAAAGCAGAGGGTCCAGAAGTGGATGTGAACCTGCCCAAAGCTGACATCGACATCTCTGGACCCAAGGTTGACATTGAAGCCCCAGATGTGAGTCTTGAGGGACCAGAAGGGAAGCTGAAGGGTCCCAAGTTTAAGATGCCTGAGATGCACTTCAAGGCCCCCAAGATCTCCATGCCTGACGTAGACTTACACCTGAAAGGCCCCAAAGTCAAAGGGGATATGGATGTGTCTGTGCCAAAATTGGAGGGAGATTTGAAAGGCCCCAGTGTGGACGTGGAGGTGCCTGATGTTGATCTGGAATGTCCTGATGCTAAGTTGAAAGGCCCTAAGTTTAAGATGCCAGACATGCACTTCAAGGCCCCCAAGATCTCCATGCCTGATATACACTTGAAAGGCCCCAAAGTCAAAGGGGATGTCGATGTGTCTGTGCCCAAAATAGAAGGTGAAATGAAAGTGCCAGATGTGGACATCAAAGGCCCCAAAGTTGACGTTGATGTCCCAGATGTGGATGTTCATGGCCCAGATTGGCACCTGAAGATGCCCAAGATGAAAATGCCCAAGTTCAGCATGCCTGGCTTCAAAGCAGAGGGCCCAGAAGTGGATGTGAACCTGCCCAAGGCCGACATTGACATCACTGGACCCAAGGTTGACATTGAAGCTCCAGATGTGAACATTGAGGGTCCAGAAGGAAAACTGAAGGGCCCTAAGTTCAAGATGCCTGAAATGCACTTTCATGCCCCCAAGATCTCCATGCCTGATGTTGATTTCAACTTAAAGGGACCTAAAGTCAAAGGAGACTTTGATGTTTCGGCCCCAAAGATGGAAGGAGAGTTCAAGAGTCCAGAATTGGATGTCAAGGGCCCCAAATTGGATGCTGACATGCCAGACGTAACTTTGGAAGGCCCAGATGGCAAATGGAAAAGTCCTAAATTTAAGATGCCAGACATGCACTTTAAAGCTCCCAAAATCTCCATGCCAGACATTGATCTACACTTAAAAAGCCCCAAGATAAAGGGAGAGGTGGATGTAGATGCTCCAAAATTGGAAGGTGGCCTTAAAGGGCCAGACCTCAAGGGTGACATCAGTGGGCCAGATATTGACATTGAAGGACCAGAGGGCAAATTGAAAGGCCCCAAGTTCAAGATGCCAGACATGCATTTCAAAGTCCCCAGTATTTCTATGCCTGATGTGGACCTAAATCTGAAAGGACCGAAAGTCAAGGGGGATGTAGATGTGTCTGTGCCTGAGGCAGAAGGTAAAATTAAAGTACCAGATGTGAACATCAAGGGCCCCAAGGTAGACATAAGTGCTCCTGAGGTGCATGGCCCAGACTGGCACCTGAAGATGCCCAAGATGAAAATGCCCAAGTTCAGCATGCCAGGCTTCAAAGGAGAGGGCCCAGAAGTGGACATGAACCTGCCCAAGGCCGACATTGATGTCTCAGCTCCCAAAGTCGACATTGAAGGCCCTGATGTTAACATTGAAGGACCAGAGGGAAAGGTGAAAGGTCCAAAGTTCAAGATGCCTGAGATGAACATCAAAGCCCCAAAGATCTCCATGCCGGATGTAGATTTACACTTGAAAGGTCCTAAGGTCAAAGGAGATGTAGACATTTCCCTGCCGAAGGTGGAAGGTGACCTAAAAGGCCCTAAAGTGGACATTGATGCCCCTGATGTGGATATTCAAGGTCCAGACTGGCACCTGAAGATGCCCAAGATGAAAATGCCGAAGTTCAGCATGCCAGGCTTCAAAGGAGAGGGCCCAGAAGTGGATGTAAACTTGCCCAAGGCCGACATTGATGTCTCAGCGCCCAAAGTGGACATCGAAGGCCCTGATGTTAACATTGAAGGACCAGAGGGAAAGTTGAAAGGTCCAAAGTTCAAGATGCCTGAGATGAACATCAAAGCCCCCAAGATCTCCATGCCGGACTTTGATTTGCACCTGAAAGGTCCCAAGGTAAAGGGCGATGTAGATGTTTCCCTGCCTAAGGTGGAAGGTGACCTCAAGGCCCCTGAGGTTGACCTCAAAGGGCCCAAAGTGGACATTGATGCCCCTGATGTGGATGTTCATGGCCCAGACTGGCACCTGAAGATGCCCAAGATAAAAATGCCCAAGATCAGCATGCCAGGCTTCAAAGGAGAGGGCCCAGAAGTGGATGTGAACCTGCCCAAAGCCGACATTGATGTCACTGGGCCCAAGGTGGACATTGAAGGACCTGACGTTAATATTGAAGGACCAGAAGGAAAGTGGAAAAGTCCAAAGTTTAAGATGCCTGAAATGCATTTTAAGACTCCAAAGATATCCATGCCAGATATTGATCTTAATCTAACAGGTCCGAAAATGAAAGGAGAAGTGGATGTCACAGGTCCAAAGGTAGAGGGAGATCTGAAAGGCCCTGAAGTTGACCTCAAAGGCCCAAAAGTGGACATTGATGTCCCTGATGTGGACGTTCATGGCCCAGACTGGCACCTGAAGATGCCCAAGATGAAAATGCCCAAGTTCAGTATGCCAGGCTTCAAAGGAGAGGGCCCAGAAGTGGATGTGAACCTGCCCAAGGCTGACATTGATGTCACTGGACCCAAGGTGGACATTGAAGGTCCAGATGTTAATATTGAAGGACCAGAAGGAAAGTTGAAAGGTCCTAAGTTCAAGATGCCTGAGATGAACATTAAAGCCCCCAAGATCTCCATGCCGGACTTTGATTTGCATCTGAAAGGTCCCAAGGTAAAGGGCGATGTGGATGTTTCTCTGCCCAAAGTTGAAGGTGACCTCAAAGGACCTGAAGTTGACCTCAAAGGCCCCAAAGTGGACATTGATGTCCCAGATGTGGATGTTCATGGCCCAGATTGGCACCTGAAGATGCCTAAGGTGAAGATGCCCAAGTTCAGCATGCCGGGCTTCAAAGGAGAGGGCCCAGAAGTGGATGTGAACCTGCCCAAGGCCGACATTGATGTCTCAGGACCCAAGGTGGACATTGATGTTCCAGATGTGAATATCGAAGGTCCAGATGCAAAACTGAAAGGCCCCAAGTTCAAGATGCCAGAGATGAACATCAAAGCTCCTAAGATCTCCATGCCGGACTTTGACTTAAACCTGAAAGGTCCCAAAGTAAAGGGTGATGTTGATGTTTCCCTGCCTAAGGTGGAAGGTGACCTCAAGGGCCCCGAAGTTGACCTCAAAGGGCCCAAAGTGGACATTGATGTCCCTGATGTGGACGTTCATGGCCCAGACTGGCACCTGAAGATGCCTAAGGTGAAGATGCCCAAGTTCAGCATGCCGGGCTTCAAAGGAGAGGGCCCAGAAGTGGACGTGAACCTGCCCAAGGCCGACATTGACGTCTCAGGACCCAAGGTGGACATTGATGTTCCAGATGTGAATATCGAGGGTCCAGATGCAAAGCTGAAGGGCCCCAAGTTTAAGATGCCCGAGATGAACATCAAAGCTCCTAAAATATCCATGCCAGATTTGGACTTGAATCTTAAAGGCCCTAAAATGAAAGGAGAGGTGGATGTTTCACTTCCAAATGTAGAAGGTGATTTGAAAGGCCCTACTCTTGACATCAAGGGCCCGAAGATAGATGTAGATGCTCCTGACATTGACATTCATGGCCCGGAAGGCAAATTAAAAGGTCCCAAACTGAAGATGCCTGACATGCATGTAAATGTGCCCAAGATCTCCATGCCAGAAATTGACCTGAATTTAAAAGGCTCAAAGCTTAAGGGAGATGTTGATGTTTCTGGGCCCAAATTGGAAGGCGACATTAAAGCTCCCAAGTTGGATGTAAAGGGCCCAGAAGTGGACATTTCTGGTCCTAAGGTCAATATTGAAGGCAAGTCAAAGAAATCTCGTTTTAAGCTTCCCAAATTCAATTTTTCGGGCTCTAAAGTTCAGACACCTGAGGTGGATGTGAAAGTTAAAAAGCCAGATATTGATGTAACAGGTCCAAAAGTTGATATTAATGCTCCTGATGTTGAGGTCCAAGGGAAAGTGAAAGGAAGCAAGTTCAAAATGCCTTTCCTGAGTATTTCATCTCCTAAAGTTTCTATGCCTGATGTGGAATTAAATCTGAAAGGTCCTAAAGTCAAAGGAGACTTAGATGTTGCAGGTCCTAATTTAGAAGGTGACTTTAAAGGACCCAAAGTGGATATTAAGGCACCAGAAGTTCATCTTGATGCACCTGATGTGGATGTTCATGGTCCAGACTGGAATTTGAAAATGCCCAAGATGAAGATGCCCAAGTTCAGTGTGCCTGGCTTAAAAGCAGAAGGGCCCGATGTGGCTGTGGGTCTTCCAAAGGGAGATGTCAACATAGAGGCTCCAAGAATGGACATTGAGGGCCCAGAAATTAATGTGGAAGGTCTAGAAGGAGGCTTGAAAGGTCCTAAACTCAAGATGCCTGACCTGAATATCAAAGCTCCCAAGATCTCTATGCCTGACATTGATTTAAACCTCAAGGGCCCCAAGGTGAAAGGTGATGTGGATGTTTCTCTGCCCAAAGTTGAAGGGGATCTGAAAGGGCCAGAGGTTGATATCAAAGGCCCAAAAGTGGACATTGATGCCCCTGATGTGGACGTTCATGGCCCAGACTGGCACCTGAAGATGCCCAAGGTGAAAATGCCCAAGTTCAGCATGCCAGGCTTCAAAGGAGAGGGCCCAGAAGTGGATGTTACCCTCCCTAAAGCTGACATTGATATTTCTGGCCCCAAAGTGGACATCAACGCCCCAGATGTGAATATTGAAGGTCCAGATGCAAAACTGAAGGGCCCTAAGTTCAAGATGCCAGAGATGAACATCAAAGCCCCCAAAATTTCCATGCCTGACATTGATCTGAACCTGAAGGGCCCCAAAATGAAGGGTGATGTGGACGTGTCTTTGCCAAAAGTGGAAGGTGACCTCAAGGGCCCTGAGGTTGACATCAAGGGCCCCAAAGTGGACATTGATGCTCCTGATATTAACATTGAAGGCCCAGAGGGGAAATTGAAGGGGCCCAAATTCAAGATGCCAGAGATGCACCTGAAGGCTCCCAAGATCTCCATGCCTGATATTGACTTAAACCTGAAGGGCCCCAAGGTGAAAGGTGATGTGGATGTCTCCCTTCCCAAGATTGAAGGGGATCTGAAAGGCCCTGAAGTTGACCTCAAAGGTCCTAAAGTGGACATTGATGCCCCTGATGTGGATGTCCATGGCCCAGATTGGCACCTGAAGATGCCCAAGATAAAAATGCCCAAGATCAGCATGCCAGGCTTCAAAGGAGAGGGCCCAGAAGTGGACGTGAACCTGCCCAAGGCCGACATTGATGTCTCAGCACCCAAAGTGGACATTGAAGGCCCTGATGTTAACATTGAAGGACCAGAGGGAAAGGTGAAAGGTCCTAAGTTCAAGATGCCTGAGATGAACATCAAAGCCCCCAAGATCTCCATGCCGGACTTTGATTTGCACCTGAAAGGTCCCAAGGTAAAGGGCGATGTGGATGTTTCCCTGCCTAAGGTGGAAGGTGACCTCAAGGCCCCTGAGGTTGACCTCAAAGGGCCCAAAGTGGACATTGATGCCCCTGATGTGGATGTTCATGGCCCAGACTGGCACCTAAAGATGCCCAAGATAAAAATGCCCAAGATCAGCATGCCAGGCTTCAAAGGAGAGGGCCCAGAAGTGGATGTGAACCTGCCCAAAGCCGACATTGATCTCTCAGCACCCAAGGTGGACATTGATGTTCCAGATGTGAATATCGAAGGTCCAGATGCAAAACTGAAGGGCCCCAAGTTCAAGATGCCTGAGATGAATATCAAAGCCCCCAAGATCTCCATGCCGGACTTTGATTTGCATCTGAAAGGTCCTAAGGTGAAAGGAGATGTTGATGTTTCCCTGCCTAAGGTGGAAGGGGACCTAAAGGCCCCTGAAGTTGACATCAAAGGACCCAAAGTGGACATTGATGTCCCTGATGTGGACGTTCATGGCCCAGACTGGCACCTGAAGATGCCTAAAGTGAAGATGCCCAAGTTCAGCATGCCGGGCTTCAAAGGAGAGGGCCCAGAAGTGGATGTGAGTCTGCCCAAGGCTGATATTGATGTCTCAGGACCCAAGGTGGATGTAGACACTCCTGACATTGACATTCATGGTCCAGAAGGGAAACTGAAAGGCCCCAAGTTTAAAATGCCTGACCTTCACCTCAAGGCACCCAAGATCTCCATGCCTGAAGTAGACCTGAATCTGAAGGGACCCAAGGTAAAGGGTGATGTGGACGTTTCCCTGCCTAAGGTGGAAGGTGACCTCAAGGGCCCCGAAGTTGACCTCAAAGGGCCCAAAGTAGACATTGATGTCCCTGATGTGGACGTTCATGGCCCAGACTGGCACCTGAAGATGCCTAAGGTGAAAATGCCCAAGTTCAGCATGCCGGGCTTCAAAGGAGAGGGCCCAGAAGTGGATGTGAATCTGCCCAAGGCCGACATTGACGTCTCAGGACCCAAGGTGGACATTGATGTTCCAGATGTGAATATCGAAGGTCCAGATGCAAAACTGAAAGGCCCCAAGTTCAAGATGCCAGAGGTGAACATCAAAGCTCCTAAGATCTCCATGCCGGACTTTGACTTAAACCTGAAAGGTCCCAAAGTAAAGGGTGATGTTGATGTTTCCCTGCCTATGGTGGAAGGTGACCTCAAGGGCCCCGAAGTTGACCTCAAAGGGCCCAAAGTGGACATTGATGTCCCTGATGTGGACGTTCATGGCCCAGACTGGCACCTGAAGATGCCTAAGGTGAAGATGCCCAAGTTCAGCATGCCGGGCTTCAAAGGAGAGGGCCCAGAAGTGGACGTGAACCTGCCCAAGGCCGACATTGACGTCTCAGGACCCAAGGTGGACATTGATGTTCCAGATGTGAATATCGAGGGTCCAGATGCAAAGCTGAAGGGCCCCAAGTTCAAGATGCCTGAGATGAACATCAAAGCCCCCAAAATCTCCATGCCTGACCTTGACTTTAGCCTGAAGGGCCCCAAAATGAAGAGTGATGTGGATGTCTCTCTGCCTAAAGTGGAAGGTGACCTCAAGGGCCCTGAGGTGGACATCAAGGGCCCTAAATTGGACATTGACACTCCTAATATCAATGTTGAAGGTCCAGAAGGAAAACTGAAGGGGCCCAAATTTAAGATGCCAGAGATGAACATTAAAGCCCCCAAGATCTCCATGCCTGACTTTGACTTAAACCTCAAAGGGCCAAAGGTAAAGGGAGATGTGGACCTTTCACTACCTAAGGTGCAAGGTGATCTGAAAGGTCCAGAGGTGGACATTGAAGGTCCTGAAGGGAAACTCAAAGGTCCCAAATTTAAGATGCCTGATGTCCATTTCAAAACCCCACAAATCTCCATGAGTGACATTGATTTGAACTTGAAAGGACCTAAGATTAAAGGAGATTTGGACGTTTCCATTCCTAAACTGGAAGGAGATATGAAAGGCCCCAAAGTGGATGTTAAAGGCCCTAAGCTGGACATAGACACTCCTGACATTGACATTCATGGTCCAGAAGGGAAACTGAAAGGCCCCAAGTTTAAAATGCCTGACCTTCACCTCAAGGCACCCAAGATCTCCATGCCTGAAGTCGACCTGAATCTGAAGGGACCCAAGGTAAAGGGTGATGTGGACGTTTCCCTGCCTAAGGTGGAAGGTGACCTCAAGGGCCCCGAAGTTGACCTCAAAGGACCCAAAGTGGACATTGATGCCCCTGATGTGGATGTTCATGGCCCAGACTGGCACCTGAAGATGCCTAAGGTGAAGATGCCCAAGTTCAGCATGCCGGGCTTCAAAGGAGAGGGCCCAGAAGTGGATGTGAACCTGCCCAAGGCTGACATTGACGTCTCAGGACCCAAGGTGGACATTGATGTTCCAGATGTGAATATTGAAGGTCCAGATGCAAAACTGAAGGGCCCCAAGTTCAAGATGCCAGAGATGAACATCAAAGCTCCTAAGATCTCCATGCCAGACTTTGACTTAAACCTGAAAGGTCCCAAAGTAAAGGGTGATGTTGATGTTTCTCTGCCTAAGGTGGAAGGTGACCTCAAGGGCCCTGAAGTTGACCTCAAAGGGCCCAAAGTGGACATTGATGTCCCTGATGTGGACGTTCATGGCCCAGACTGGCACCTGAAGATGCCTAAGGTGAAGATGCCCAAGTTCAGCATGCCGGGCTTCAAAGGAGAGGGCCCAGAAGTGGATGTGAACCTGCCCAAGGCCGACATTGACGTCTCAGGACCCAAGGTGGACATTGATGTTCCAGATGTGAATATCGAAGGTCCAGATGCAAAGCTGAAGGGCCCCAAGTTCAAGATGCCTGAGATAAATATCAAAGCTCCCAAAATCTCCAAGCCTGATGTTGACCTGGATTTAAAAGGACCCAAAATCAAAGGAGATTTTGATGTGTCTGTCCCTAAGATTGAAGGTACTTTCAAAGGCCCAGAAGTAGACCTTAAAGGTCCAGGTCTGGATTTTGAAGGCCCTGATGCCAAACTCAGTGGCCCAAATTTGAAGATGCCATCGCTGGATATATCTGCTCCTAAAGTAACTGCTCCCGATATTGATTTGCATCTCAAGGCACCCAAAATTGGAGTTTCTGGTCCCAAGTTAGAAGGTGGTGAACTGGACCTCAAGGGGCCCAAAGTTGATTTAGAAGCTCCAAGCTTAGGTGTACACATGGAGAGCCCAGATCTTAACATTGAGGGCCCGGATGTTAAAATTCCCAAATTTAAGAAACCCAAGTTTGGATTTGGGGCAAAGAGCCCCAAAGCTGACTTCAAGTCACCTTCACTTGATGTGACTGTTCCTGAGGCTGAGCTGAACGTTGAGACTCCTGAAATTAGTGTTGGTGGCAAGGGCAAGAAAAGTAAGTTTAAAATGCCTAAAATTCACATGAGTGGTCCTAAAATTAAGGCCAAGAAACAAGGATTTGATTTGAACGTTCCTGGGGGTGAAGTGGATGCCAGTCTCAAGACTCCTGATGTGGACGTCAATGTTGCAGGACCAGATGCCACGCTTAAAGTTGATGTGAAATCTCCCAAAACCAAGAAACCTATGTTTGGAAAAATGTACTTCCCAGATGTAGAATTTGACATTAAATCATCTAAATTTAAAGCGGAAGCCTCCCTCCCTAGCCCCAAAATGGAGGGTGAAATCCATGCACCTGATGTGGATATTTCGTCACCAGGGATTAATGTGGAAGGTCCTGACATCAGGCTGAAGTCTCCCAAGGTCAAAGTGCCAGGTATGGATGTTTCAGGGCCAAAAGTAGAGGGCGACCTGAAAGGCCCCAGGGTGCAGGCAAACTTGGACGCACCTGACATCAACATTGAAGGCCCAGATGCTAAAGTCAAAGCGTTTGGCATTTCTGCCCCTCAAGTCTCCATCCCCGATGTGAATGTTAGCTTGAAAGGACCAAAGATAAAGGGTGATGTCCCTGCGGTGGGCCTGGAAGGACCAGATGTAGATCTTCAAGGTCCAGAATCAAAAATCAAGTTCCCCAAGTTTTCGATGCCCAAGATCGGCGTCCCTGGTGTGAAAATGGAGGGTGAGGGAGCTGAGGTCCATGCCCACCTGCCCTCTCTTGAAGGAGGCTTGAGTGCATCAGATGTTAAGCTTGAAGGCCCTGATGTGTCTCTGAAGGGGCCAAAAGTAGACTTGCCTTCAGTGAACCTGTCTATGCCAAAAGTCTCTGGACCTGACCTTGACCTGAACTTGAAAGGACCAAGTTTGAAGGGAGACCTGGATGCATCTGTTCCCAGCGTGAAGGTGCATGCTCCAGGGCTTGACCTCAGAGGTGTCGGTGGAAAGGTGAAGATGGAAGGAGACGGTGTGAAAGTGCCAGGGATCGATGCCACAACAACACTTAACGTTGGTGTACCAGATGTGACCCTGAAGGGACCAAACCTGCAGGGAGACCTGGCTGTCTCTGGTGACATCAAGTGCCCTAAAGTATCAGTAGGTGCTCCTGATCTAAGCTTGGAGGCACCTGAAGGTAGTATTAAACTTCCCAAAATGAAGCTGCCCCAGTTTGGCATCTCTGCTCCAGGGTCCGACTTGGACATTAATGTCAAGGGGCCACAGGTTACTGGAGAACTCAAGGGGCCAGGCATGGATGTGAACCTGGGAGGTCTGAATCTGAAGGGGCCTCAGATCTCTGGCCCTCAAATCTCAGCACCGGATGTGGACTTGAACTTGGAAGGACCAAAAGTAAAAGGGAGCCTTGGGGCCACTGGTGAGATGAAAGGCCCCACCATTGGAGGAAGTCTTTCGGGCATCGGTGTTCAGGGCCTGGAAGGAAACCTTCAAATGCCTGGAATTAAGTCCTCTGGATGTGATGTAGAGCTACCAGGTGTGAATGTGAAACTCCCAACTGGGCAAATTTCTGGTCCTGAAATCAAAGGTGATCTGAAAGGTTTCCATGGGGCTGCTCCCGACATTAGCGTGAAGGGGCCTTCATTTAATGTGGCATCTCCTGAGTCTGATTTTGGTGTCAGCTTGAAGGGCCCAAAAATCAAAGGAGGTGTGGACATCTCAGGGGGTGTCAGCGCCCCAGATATCAGCCTGGGCGAAGGGCATATGGGTGTCAAAGGTTCTGGGGCCGAGTGGAAAGGACCCCAGGTCTCCTCCGCTCTCAACTTGGATGCACCTAAGCTGGCTGGGGGACTTCATTTCTCAGGACCAAAGGTAGAAGGAAGTGCGAAAGGAGGCCAGATTGGACTCCAGGGTCCTGGGCTGAGTGTGTCTGGGCCTCAAGGTCACTTGGAAAGCGGATCTGGAAAAGTAACATTCCCCAAGATGAAAATCCCCAAATTCACCTTCTCTGGCCGGGAGCTGGTTGGCAGAGAAGTGGGGGTGGATATTAGCTTTCCTAAAGCAGAGGCCAGTGTCCAGTCTGGTGCTGGAGAGGGCGAGTGGGAAGACTCCGACATCAAACTCAAAAAGTCTAAAATCAAAATGCCCAAATTCAATTTTTCCAAACCTAAAGGGAAAGGTGGTGTCACCGGCTCACCAGAAGCATCCATTTCGGGGTCCAAAGGTGACCTGAAGAGCTCCAAGGCCAGCCTCGGCTCTCTGGAAGGAGAGGCAGAGGCCGAAACATCTTCGTCCAAAGGCAAATTTTCCTTATTTAAAAGTAAGAAGCCACAGCACCGCTCAAATTCCTTCAGTGATGAAAGGGAGCTCTCTGCACCTTCCACCCCGCCCGGGACTTTGGAGTTTGAAGGTGGAGAAGTGTCGCTGGAAGGCGGGAAAGTCAAAGGGAAACAAGGAAAGCTGAAATTTGGTACCTTTGGTGGATTGGGGTCAAAGAGCAAAGGTCATTATGAGGTGACTGGGAGCGATGATGAGGCAGGCAAGTTACAGGGGAGTGGAGTGTCCTTGGCCTCTAAGAAGTCCCGACTGTCATCTTCTTCTAGCAATGACAGTGGGACTAAGATTGGCGTCCAGCTTCCCGAGGTGGAGCTGGCGGTTTCCACTAAGAAAGAGTAGCTGACCTTTTTGTGTGTACATATATGTATAAAAAGACATCAGCCTTGGGTGTGTTTGTATATAAACTCCAAAGAGAAACACACCAACAGCCTCGGCAATAATGCAAAGATCTGGCCTCGGCCAGTGGCAAGCGCTGACCGCCTTTAGGCTCCCGGAGCTTTCCAGATAGGTAAAGAGTTCCAAGTTCGTCCAGCCTGTGTGCAAAATCAACAGTATTTGCCTTAAGATTTCAGTTTTTTTGCATTGAACGCTGAGAGCTCCTGTTTACTAAGCAAGCTTTTGTGTTTATTATCTTCATTTTTACTGAACATTGTTAGTGTCGGGGTAATGGAAACCCACTTTTTCATTGTAATGACTTTTGGGGCTTTTGTTAGTAAGGGTGGGGTGGGGTAGAAGGCAGTAGAGGGGGCCAGACCTCCATTTCTCCTAAGATTGGATCTACTCAAACAGTAAACACCCAAAGAAGGCCGAGAGGAGCTGGCAGGCAGGGCGTGTGGGTGTTCTTAGAACTCTAGCATCATCGCCTTTTTCTCCAGGGGCTGCGGTCACAGCAAGTTTGGTGTTCACAGCGGGAGGGTGTTAGAATATGTTTGCAAATTGGCCAACCTACCCGCTCACTAGGAGGGGCTTCCATTTTGTGAATTGTAAGAGAAATGTTTTCTTGACCGCCGTGCTCCTGACTCTGATTTCTTTTAACAAATGTTATCATGATTAAGAAATTTTCCAGCACTTTAATGGCAAATTAATTAAGAATGTAAGAAAAATGGATGCTGTCCAAGGCAAATAAAGCTGTTCATTAACCCTGATGTCTTATGCCTTTTCGTTCTGTGTTGAGGGGATGAAGCCTGGGGAAGCTGCACCCCCGGCCCTGACGGTTCAGACTGGATCCACCCAGTGGCATTGCTGGTTTCATTAGTGGGTGATGAGCGGAATGCTTTGTTTCTCTGTTCTCACGGTGAGGGCAGCTGCCCCCTTGCTGAGGAATCAAGAGAGGTGTGGCATGCTGGCAGCCCATGCACCAGGACCCACCCACCAACTTTGCAACCTCAAATGTGCATACATGCTTCAGAAATGGTTCTAAATGGGTGAAAGGATACAGATGTGAATTGAAAAAAAGCCCTATTGGAGGGGGAGAAAGGGATCTGGCTGTGAGTTGCGGGCCTGCCATCTATTCCTGACTTGGCTGCAGGTTTGCTGAGTGGCCTCAAGGTACCTGCCCTGTCTGGGCCTCAGGTTCCTCTTTGAAATAAGGATGCCCTATTAGGTATATTTATGGTTCCTTGTAGTCCATTTTAGGGCTAAACTTTATGAAAAATCTCTTCTGACCAAAGTCCCCTTTGGATTTCCAGTTCTGCAGACAATACATGGTGGAGGAACCTTCTAGAAACTGCCTCCTAAAGTTGGTCACTGTTGGGCAGAGGGCAATCTTATAGCAAAACAATTGGACCAAGCTTGTCCCCCTTGCCATCCCCCAGAGCTGCCACCTTTCTGCCAGCGGAGGCAGCTTGCTCCTCTCCCATCACCCCCAGACCAGAGATAACAGCTCCCACCCCATCCTGCCCTCTCCAGTACCAGCTTGTCAGTTGGTTTCTGCACATAACAGTGGGATGTCCTGCCCAGCATCAACTCCACCTGCTCTTGCTTGGATTTCAGACATGCATTTGCCAGCTCCATCCATTCCCACCTTAGCAGAGCCTGTGTCCCTGGGGGGGTCTGGAGCTCAAGTGTGGCTCTTGGTTTTGAAAAGAGATAGGTCACAAGGGAGGCACTCGATGCCCTGCTGTTTTTCTTAAGATGACCAACCTGCAGCTGCTTTTGTGAATTGGGCAAGACCCTTAATCTTTGAGCCTCACTTTCCTCACCCATAAAAGGAGGATGGTATCCATAGGACCAAAGAGTCCATTCAGGTGTTTGGGTTGTCTACTGTGCAAGGGGACTGCATTTAAGTGTGAGGCTGTATGTTTATTTATGGAGAACATGAGGGTGGGTATGGAGTCCCAGAGTGGCAAGTGTGAGCCCCTCCACACACTCAAGATTGAGAGCACGCACATGCCCGCTGGCACACATGCCTACACACAGCTGTCTTCTGCCCTGAGTCAGCACCCTTCAAGGGTGCTTCTTTCACTCAAACACAGCTCGAAGCCCACTTCCTGATCCTCCCTCAGTTCTGAAGCTGACAAATGTGCGGGGTGGGATGGTGCACATGCTACCCAAGATGTGTGCCCCTTGTGTCTGGAGGGTAGGGTGAGTGGGTGACAGTGGGGTGCACTTGTGAACACAGCCAGGGGGGATGCCCATTGGGATGCTGGAAAGATTCCCTGGGCAGAATGACCTGGATTGTCCAATAACGTATCAATTAAATTTCTTTTTAGTTTGAGGAAGGGGTGATGGAGGTTAGTGGTGACCCTCAATGTCCACTCATTCAATACGTATTTTTTGAGCACTCTGTGGTTAGATGCTGTCTTAGCCCCCTGGCCTCAGAATCCTCTTCTGCTGACCTTCACGGACCAAACGACGTGATGGATCTGGGAAACTGCAATGCTTTGAACGCTGGAAATATACACGTGTAACTGACACTTCTACTGGGGACGATGAGGATGGTGATGGTTCCTGCGCTCTCAGGCTGGGACTGTCAGAGGGTGGTGGGTAAGATGGAGAAGGAACACAGCAACGAGCCGTTCAAGTGTGAGAAACTTCTCAGCCTCCTTCCTTCCAGATCAGGCCCAGGCTGGAGGCAGGGAGCACAGAACGGGAGCCCTCCCTGCTGCAGTGACCCTTACTACAGAACGGGAAGCACGGAGGAGGCGCCAGGGGCTGCAGAGGCTTGTGGAGGGCCCATCCCACCTGGCTTCCCTTTGCCCGTCCTGCCTGCCCACTCTCATTTCCCCCCTCCCTCTCTTCCTCCTGACTCCTCCATCACCACCTACCTCTGTCCTCTCTCAGTCCCTGATGGGGATGGTCCAAGTTATTCCCTCAAGTCCTGCAGGGCACCGATTCATGAGGTCTTACATTCTGAGGTCCCGCTCCCTGCATTCAAGGGTGGGAATACCCTCAGGAGACCAGGAAGGGGCTGGGCTGGGCTCCTCAAGGTCCTGCCTCAGGGGTCCAGCGTGCAGCAGCCGTGGCAAGGACTGCAGCCTCACAGTGCACTTTGCTTCAGGCCGTGTGACTGTGTGGGGGACGTGACGACTGTGTGGGGGAAGTGATGAGGTTAGAAGGAACATTTGGAAGATTGAATTATTTTGAATGTACGGGCTCAGAAATGGCAGTAAATACTTGTCATCAACTCAGACTCATTTTTGTATCTGTCAGGGTCCCTACGGGAAACTGAATTCCACTTGAAGATAGCTGGACCACACAGACTTTAAAAACGGGTCTGTTTATGGAGTAGTGGGCAGGGGCAAAGAAGCCCACAAAGGGTGATGAGACCCCCAGGGACAGGGGCCCTGGGAAGAAATGGTGTTCCTGGAATCCATCGTGAGCTGGAGGCGCAGGAGGGACCGCCTGCAGGAGCTGTAGCCTTGAAGGACCACAGCATCTGTCAGAATTGCCCGGCCACGCGAAGCAGGAAGAAATATCCTGACCTTTCCTTCTGCCGGTACCTCCCCCTGGAGGGCAAGCGAGCCCAGGTGTTGCAGGTGAAGGGATCAGCCTCCTGGAGGTGCAGAGCAGGGTAGAGAAGCAGAGAGAAGGGGTCTGAGGGTGGAGGGGCAGATAGAGAGCAACCAGGACAATGTCCTAATCCTCTCATTTTTCTGTTGGGCAAATTCGGATTTCTATATATTGAGGTTTCTTAAAATAGCCACAGTTATGTGGAATGTATTTAAACTATGATCATAAAATAAAAGGATAATTTTTTTTAAACAAACACTTATTTTGGGGAGGCTCTATAGTATGTGTGAAAGTTCTACCGTTAAGAATATTTGTGTTTCTTCTTTTGGAACTGCTCTCAATGTCGCCTGTACAATTAAAAAATTATTTTTCCTTGGGGAAACACAAATATTCCTCTTTTGATTTTTGCAAATAGCTAAAGGTCCTGGAAGATACTCCAGGATTCCCAGGACAGAACTCTAAAAAGAGCACCGGGCTGGGACTCAGTGGCATTAGCCGTGACCTTGGGCAAATTAAGGTCCCTCTCTGAGCGTTGGTTTCCGCATTTGTGACATGGATAAGGCATGCATTCTCTAAGACCCTGGCCAGGTCCAATAGTCTATGATCCTTTCAGAAGCAAGGCTGGTTAATTAGGTGGATGGGGCTGTTTTGGGTCAAAAGCAAGGTGTGATTATCACGTACCGCACCTAATCTTCCTGTGTGCTTGGTAAATTGACTCAAATGTTTTGAGTGACAGCAGCACTGTTGAAATATTGTATCTCCAGTGTCCCAAAGCAAAGCCCAGCACCCACCAGAACTTTGCATGGTGCTAGTACACATGTGTCATTTCTTCCGAGTCCCACCTTAGCTCTCTGGTATTGTGCCTTAGCTGCGACATGACTGGCACTTGGGAGATGCACTCAGGCATGTAACTGACGTTTCTTTTTTTTTTTTTAAGTGTATTTATTTTGAAGTCAAACCTACAGAGAAGTTGCAAGAATAATACAATCAATATCCATATATCTTTCACTTAGATTTACCAATTTTACCTCATTGGTTTTAATCTCTCTCTCTCTCTCTCTCTAGATGTTATAATTATCATTATTTTTGCTGAATCATTTGAGAGTAAAATGCAGACACCATGACCCTTACCCCGAAATACTTCAGCATGTATAGACATTCTCTTATATAAACACAATACAATAATCAACTTCAGGACACTTAACATTGATACAATATTATTATCTGACATTGAGTCCACATTTAAACTTTACCAATTGCCCCAATAATTTCCTTACAGCATTCCCCTCCCCACCCCATTGAGGTTTCAATCATCCATGATCCCACATGGCATGTAATTGTCATGGTCACTTTAGTTTCTTCAATCTGGAACACTTCCTCAGCTTTTCATTGTCATTAGTGACATCGATATTTTTGACGTGTACGGGGCCAGTTACTTTGTAGAAGTGTCCCTGAGTCTGCGTTTGTGTGATGATGTTTCCTTGTGGTTAGATTGAGGTTATGCCTCTTGGGGCAGGAATGCCACAGAAGTGGTGTGGGGTCTCTTCTCAGGACCTACGTGACTTTGATTCCTTGATTAAGGAGGAGATTGCTAAGTTTCTCCATTGTAACAGTGTCATGTTTTCCCTCTGGAATTAGCAAATAAACCCAAGTTTTCAAGACAGAAGTCCAAGTTTGGGCAAGTTAATTTCGCAAGTACACTTTAAAGGCTGGTGTCGTGCACACTTCAGCCGTGGAGGGCTCTCCAGCTGGGGATTTTGACAATGGAGTTCTGGTTTAGGGCTTTGCAGCACAGAGCAGCTCCCTGTCTCTCCTCACGAGGACGAAGAATTCGGTGCGTGAACGCTTGCCATAGGCCGGGAATGCCATGTGCTGTTTACCAGCAGGCGAATCACCCCGTGATGTCTGGTGGCCGCAAGTGTTTCCTAAGGCCGAACGCTCCCAGCAGAGGCGCTGTCTTGGGCCACAGCAAATGTGTGGGGGACATTCTGCTGAGGAAGCTGGTTTCAGTTCCCTTTAAAAACCTCTCTTAGGGGCCGGCCCTGTGGTGCAGCAGTTAAGTTTGCACGTTCTGCTTCTCAGCGGCCCAGGGTTTGCCGGTTCGGATCCCAGGTGCAGACATGGTACCGCTTGGCCAAAGCCATGCTGTGGCAGGCGTCCCACGTATAAAGTAGAGGAAGATGGGCATGGATGT